CGGGTTGGGTTGTGTCATAGGTTATGATTTTAAAATAGATATAATAGCACTAATAGATACATGAGCATATTATAACTGCATCCGTGAAGGTATAATACCAACAAAGTATTATGAAAAAACTACTGAACGTTTAAGTGGTGCTAATAGAAGTAATTTAAAAGTACAATATAAATTACCATGTGCAAAAATATGTAATCAAGGATATTGTTTTAAAAACCAATTTATCCTGGTCAAAAACTTAACACAAGAAGTAATATTTGGAACTCCATTTTTTACACAAATATATCCATTTAAAGTAACTGAAATAGGATTAACCACAAAGGTAGTAGGAACAAAATTATTATTTGGATTTCTATTACCTATGAAAACAAAAGAAGTTCTAAATCTACAAGAAAATACAATTCATAAAACGATTAATTGAATCAAGGGTAAACAAAATCATATTCAACATTTACAAGAAGAAATAACTTACAAATAAAAAAAAGAACACCTTAATACGCAATATATAAAAGATAAGATAAAAACTACCAAAAAATATATACTAAAACAAATATGTTCGGATTTACCGAGTACTTTTTGGGAAAGAAAGCAACATATTGTTGAACTTCCATACACAAAAGAATTTAGTGAAAGGAATATACCAACTTAAGCTGTAACACCCGTGAACCGAAAAGTGAATTTTTGGTTGGTGCGTCGATCGACACGGGTTGATTTTGAACCGACAGGTTCGATTTTAAATTGTCTGGTTTGCGTGGTTGGTTAGGGAAAACCCTAAGAGGCAGTATAAAAAGGGAGCAGCCGTGCTTAGGATGCGTTTTTGAGCAGAAAACACTCACAAAACAGAGTGGAGAGAGAGGATTTTCGTGATTGTGAGAGAGAAGAAGAGATTATCGTTTTGGAGACAGTTCTGGCTGTTCTAGAAGAGTAGAGGAACGAATAGTCTAATTAGATCGGATTGGAGTGAACCTACTAGGTTAAGTTCTCCACTCTTGTATCTAGCTTTGGACGAAATCGGTTTGTCATTTGGATTAGTATTCTGAGAGTTATGGTTGTTTTTCCGAAAGAGATTCGTGCAGAATTGGATCTGCGATCAATCCACGTCGTGGGAGTTTTTCTGTCGTACAAGAAGGAATTAGGAGACATCTATATAGCGTTGGAAAGATCTCGGTCTCACGATTCCAGATCATGTTTCCGATCATGATTCCGAGGTACGCTCCGTTCTCAACGTGCTTTCGAAGTCGGCTGGTTGTTTCTGTTTTCAG